GCAACAAAGACATCTGTTCAACTATGTTCAGAGCAGCACTATTTGTAATAGCAAGAACCTGGAAGCAACCTAGATGCCCCTCAATTGAAGAATGGTTAATGAAGATGTGGCACATCTACATAATGGAATACTACTCTGCAGAAAAAAATAATGGTATCTTGAAATTCGCAGACAAGTAGATGGCACTTGAAGAAACCATCCTGAATGAGGTAACCCACTCACAAAAAGAGAAACACAGTATGTACTCACTCATATATGGATTTTAGAACTAGATCAAATGATCACCAGCCTATAATTCACATCACCAGAGGAATAGGATACAAGGTGTATTTTAAGAGATTCATATAAAGTCCCTCACAGAACTGGGAAGGGACAAGTCCCCCAGAGCTCAGGTGAAGTGGGGGAGGACAGCGAATGGAGAGAGAAGTAGGAGAAAATGAGGGGGAGGAGAGGAAGGCATGTGCGACCAGGAGGATTGAGCCTGGTTAGGAATGGAAGACAGGAGAGAGAGAGAGAGAGAGAGAGAGACAGAGACAGAGACAGAGAGAGAGAACATAAAAGAGGGAGCCAATATTGGTTTGAAGATAAAGTTGAACACAAAGAAAGGTCGAGAGAACTACAAGACTGCTCCCAACTAACAATCTCAGCTTCCGTGGAAAGGCTACCATAAATGCCCTTCCCGGAGAGTGAGATCAACAACTAACTTCTCTATGGAGCCCTCAACTAATGCCTGTTGAAAATAGGAGCAAACACCCATACATAAACACTGAGTCGAACTAGAACCCAGAAGCAGATGGAGAGGACAAGACCATGTGGAGAAGTACATAGAGCTAAGGGCCACTAGACTGATAGCTGGGAAGCCAGCAGGGGACTGACTCGGGCCCCCCCCTGAATATGGGTCTCAGCCAGAAGGTCTGAGCAGTCTAAGAGACCTCAGACAGTGGAGCCAGGATGTATCCCTGGTGCACAAAAGCACTTTGCAAACATATCCCCCATGGAGGGATAACTGCCTTATTCTAGAGACAGGAGAGAAGCCCTAGTCCCTACTTCACAGGACCTGTCACATCTACATGACCCCAACTGGATGGCATTCCCCTACATATGGAATTGTGGTGGGGGGATGGGAGGGGAGGGTGTTTAGAGTGCATGTGAGAGGGCAGAGAGGGTAAAAGGGAGGGAAGGAGGAAGGGAGGGTTGGAGGGGAGGGAGGGAGAGGGAACTGGGATCGACATGTAAAATAATAAATTTTAAAAAAAATGTTTTGACTCCAAAATTTAACTTGAAGAACAAGTTACTGGGGAAAAGGATTTCTATTTTTGTTTCCACAGAAAATGAATAGATGTGGCTTCCTTCCAGACTAATGTGGTTTGATCACGCCAGACTGCCTGAAACAGAGTACAAGCTGATCCTACATTCCAAACAGCTGGACAAAACAGCCCTACAGACTACAGCCAGGATATCTGAATCTTCTTCGAATCCCTCAAGACAGCGCCCCTTACCGGCAGGAAGTAGTTTGGAAAGAACGACGCCCAAATTCCCAAATATTGTGTATAAATGTTTGTTTTCATTTAATTGGACTTTGTTATATAAAATTAAATAAAAATATTATAAATAAAAAAAAGAAAAATGAGATATAGAGCTAAACAGAGAATTCTCAATAGAGGAATCTCAAATGGCTAAGAAACAGTTAAAGAAATGTTCCTTAAAGACCAAACAAAAAATGCAAGAAATGAACAAATCTCTTAAAGAAAGTAAGGAAAGCCAAGAAAAAAATAATGAAACAGATGAAGGAAACAATTCAAACAGTTCAAGACCTGAAAACTGAAATAGAGACAATAAAGAAAACACAAACTGAGGGATTGCTAGAAATAGAAAAACTGGGTAAAAAGTCAGGTGTAGTGAGATATTCACTTTGTCCACTCCTGTGGCACTGACCACACCCATTGGGGGTGGACATAGGGGCAGATGTTACCTGGGGGAACTGGGTCTGGGGAAGGGGCCTTGGAGCTCTCTTGCTTGCAGCACGGGGACAGAAGAGCATCTGGAGGCATCCTTGGGACCAGGAACCTGCTGGTGTTCATCTGTCTCTGTTGTAAGTTATTTCTCCCTGAATAAACATCTATTTAGCCTATTTGTTTTTCCTAATCCTTATTAAACCACATTAATCAGGAACTACAGATGCAAACATAACCAATAGAATACAAGAGATTGAAAAAAAGAATCTCCAGGCTCTGAAGATAAACTAAAGGAAATAGATTTATCGACCAAAGAAAAATCTTAAATCTAACAAATCCTTAACAGAAAACATCCAGGAAATGTGGGACACCGTGAAAAGGCCAAACCTAAGAATAATAGGCATATGGGCTGGAGAGGTGGCTCAGCCGCTAAAGGCTAGGCTCACAACCAAAAACATAAGAATAATAGGCATAGAACAAGGAGAAGAATAATTAAATCTAACAAATCCTTAACACAAAGCATCCAGGAAATGTGAGACAACGTGAAAAGGCCAAACCTAAGAATAACAGGCATAGAAGAAGGCGAAGAAGCCCAGAACAAAGGTGCAGAAAACATATTTTAAAAAAATCATTGAAGAAAACTTTCCCAATCTGAAGAAGGACATGCCTATGAAAGTACAAGAAGCATACGGAACACCAAATAGACTGGACCAAAAAAAAAAAGTTCCTCGCCACATAATAATTAAAACACCTCCTTGAAGGCATCACCCTCCCTGTGGAGTGGGGGGGAGGAATGGGATGGGAGGGGTGGGGGGGTATGGGAGGGAGGGAGAGGGAACTGGGATCAATATGTAAAATAAAAATGTGTGTGTGTGTGTGTGTGTGTGTGTGTGTGTGTGTGTGTGAGTGAAAAGTCCCTTAGCCATAAAGGGAAATGCAAATAAAAACTACTTTGGGATTCCATCTTAGACCTGTCAGAATGGCTGAAATCAAAAACGCAAGTGACAGCTGTTGAGGATGTACACTCCTTCAGTGCTGGTGTGAGTGCAAACTTGTACAGACACTATAGAAATCAACCTGGTGGTTCCTCAGAAAGTTAGGAATCAACCTACCTCAAGACTCAACTATACAACTCTTGGGCAAAAGACACTCCATCCTACCACAAAGACACTTGCTAAACTATGCCCATGCAGTTTTATTCATAATAATCAGAAACTAGAAACAACCTAGATGTTTCTCAGAAAAACCGATAAAGTGTGGTACATTTACACAGTGGGTATTACTCAGCAGTTTTTTTTTTTTTTTTTAATGACATTGTGAAATTTTCAGGCAAATGAATGGAACTAGAAAAAAAGCATCCTGAGTGAGATAACCCAGATCCAGAAAAGACAAACATGGCATGTACTCACCTATAAGTGGATATTAGCTGTTGATTCAAGGATAATCATGCTACAATCAATCCATAGACCCAGAGAGGCTACCTGTCAGGGGGCTCTCTCTGGGAAGGGGAAATAGAATAGATTTTGGGGTGGGTGGATGGATATGGGAACAGGAGGGATCAATGTGTGGAGGTGGTGGAAGGGATCACTGAGAGTGGTGACTGGAATGGGGTGGGGTGGTATGGAAACCTACCTGTACTGCACTGGAGACTCCCTGTAATCTATGAGGGTGATCCTAGCAAAGACTTCTAGAAATGGTTGATATGCAGCCAGAACCAGCTGTCTTCTGTAACCAGGCTAAGACTTATAGCGGTAAGACTGGGACTCCAACCCAACCTCAAAACCTTCAATCTACAATTTATCCTGTCTGCAAGATGTGCTGGGGTAAAGGTGGCACAAAACTTGTAAGACTGGTCCAGCTTGAGGCCCAAGACACAGCCAAGAACCTGAAGCTGACTGGCTCAGAGACTTAGAGTAGAATCAAACAGAAAAACAATAAAAACAAACACAAGAGTCAATAAAAGTATTCCTAATGATACTCTGCTATACTCATAGATCAGTGGCTAGCCCAATTGTCATCAGAGAGGTTTCATCCAGCAACTGATGGGAGCAGATGCAGAGACACACAGCCAAACATCAGACTGAGCTTGGGGACCCCTGTATCCTGCTGGCCACTGCTATACTAACCATCTGCTCAGTGCACCTGGCCTAGCTCTGGAGAGCTAGTACCTAGCTTAATCCATCCTTTGGATTAAGGGGAATACTTTTTGCTCCCCCATGTGAAACTTGTTTAGGAATTTCCCAAGGAGAAAAAAACTTGGTTCAGGAAACCCAGAAAACTGTGGTGCCTATGAGTCAAGTCTTTGCACATGCCATTGTCTTTTTGGAAGCCTCATTCAAGTTGTTCTGAGATATGGTAATCAACTGGCTAAAGTGCAAAATATAGAGAAAAGTAAAAATGCCCCGGACGTAGGAAATGTGTGTCAGTTCCTGGAAGTCCCCTGCAGCTGCAACCACTAAATTTATTCTTAAAGTGTCTCAGTTTTCTCTCAATGGACTGGAGTGGACCCACACCCGTGATGCAATACCTTCAACAAACCCCACAGACGAGGGGGAAGGAAGGATTGTAGGAGCCAGAGAAGTGGAGGATACCATATTGCATACATGTTCTGGTTGTGTAGCTTGGTGTTCTTGTAGAATTCCTAACAATGGGAGAGGGCATGTCTCTGAACCTTTTCCTCCTACTGGGTTGCTTGGTCAGCCTTGATATGAGGGTCTGTGCCTAGTCTTACTGTAACCTGTTATTCCATGTGTCAGTTGATATCCCTGAGAGACCTGCCCCTTTTGGGAGGGAATGGAGGAGTGGATCTGGGGGAGAAGGGAGATGGGGAATAGAACTGGGAAGAGTGGAGGGAAGGAAAACTGCAATTCTGATGTAATGTATGAGAGAAGAAGAAGGAGGGAGGGAGGGAAGCAGGGAGGGAGAGAGGGGGAAGAAAAGAGGGAGGGGGAGGGAAAGAGGGAGGGAGGAAGGAAGAAATAAATCTATGTGCAACCATTATATTCTATAGCTAGCAACCAAATTCTTAGGCACATTAACTGTTACCTTTTTTGAGTGAATGGTCTTTTGTGCAGCTCAACTCTGTGTAATTTAGACCTCTTAAAGCATTATTTTCTTCAAGAAGTTGAGAGTACTTTTGAAAATAAACTGTAAAACAAAACAAAAAAAACAACCAAAAACCACTCATTTTCATGAAAGAATTATGGCTTTCTACTTACTGGTACACAGATCTATTAAGTCCTGATTACCTAAGCAGACAGAGCCTGACTGGGATTCCCATCACCCTACTGTCCTTGTCTTCCTATTTTGAAACCACAGGTACCTCCAGGATTCATAGAAGGACCAGTAATTTAAAAAGCAAGATGGACCCATTGTCGTGACTCTAAAGGGAATGAGCCATGCCTTTCAAATGCTTAATGTAAGATGTAATGCTAACTCTTGGGGGAGGTGAAGCGTGCATAGATACTCATATTCAAGGATGTAAACTGCCTTGGCTTTGTGAGGAAAGGGGGCTCGCTAATTCTGAGGGTCTCTAGGTTTATTTTGGAATGTGAAATACGAAAGAACCCAACATTATCTTTGGAGCATTGTTTTCTTCCTTAAACTCTCTTTATTTTGAACAACTTACTCCTCCAGGCAATTGTTCTCGCTCTCTCCAGGTTTAAAGCTGACTGGCTTCTGTCTGGAACTGAATTTCTTCTTAGTTTCCTCCCTGTGTCTTTACCCTCCTCACCCCACCACTTTTTCTCCCTCCTTTTCACTAACACCGAATTTGGATTAGCAGTAATATCCCAGGGCACTCACTCATCAGCAATCAAGACATTGCTCTGTCCTGGTTTTTGCCTCCCTTTTCTTTTCTTTTCTTTCTTTTTTTTCTTTGACTCGTTGACTCATATAATCTCTTCTCCCTCCAACCACCCCTTTAAAATGTCACACTTACAGTCTTGTTATTATGTTTCCTCCTCGGAGCAAAACCTTTCCGAGTGATGTCATGTATTGCTACAGCCTTGCCTGCTGCCTATATGTGTGGGATTTTGTGCTCCCCTAAACACAAACATGTTAGGTTTGACTCAATATGCCCAAATCTCAAATCAACACAACCAACTTAAACCTATGACTTCTCGTACATTGTCTACCTCTTTGAATAGCTTTATGGTTGCTGAGTTTACATTATCAGAATGTTAAGGTCACACTGTACTTCTTGGACCCCTTAATCCCTGGATCTCGGTATTCATCAAGCATCTATTTCCTTGGTCCTACGCTCTTTACCATTGAAACCTTTTCCTCTTGTGTTTTTTACTTATCTCATTATCAGGTTATAAGTTGGCCTTCTCATTTCTCTCTTTGTCCTAATGACTCTATTTTCAGATTCCTGCAAAGCACTGTCTATGACCTAAATTTAGCTACATCAATTCTCTATTTGAAATGTTGCAATGGTTCTCCATGGCTGTGACACTTTGCAAAAAATGACCACAATTTTTAACTTCTGTATCCACACACCACTGCAATGTGATTTTGAAATTTTCCCAGATAACAACACAAAAGAAAAGAGATGAAGTCTTCTGTGTGAGATGCCTCCGAGACTTCTTTTGGCCAAGAGAATGTGAAAAATCAACTCTGATCTACTAGTAAGTTAAGTTTTTAAAGATTTATTTATTATATATACAGTATTGCGCCTGTATATATGCCTACAGGCCAGAAGAGGGTACCAGATCTCATTACAGATAATTGTGAGTCACCATGTGGTTGCTGGGAATTGAACTCTGGAAGAATAACAATGCTCTTAACCTCTGAGCCATCTCTCCAGTCCTCATGTTAATTTTTTTGAGAAACCTGGCTCATGGTCACCTTCAATCTTGGAAGTCTGAAATCTGCTATGTAAACAAGCCCAGGCCATCCTAAGGGACCATATAAAGACGGGCCGTACTGTTAGTCACTAAAGCTGGCCTCCTCCTCTGGGAAGCTGAGGTGCCTGGACTCGTAACTGACCACATACAAATGCCTAAGTTCAGCTAGGACCAGAGGAACCAGTCGATACAGACTGGCCTAAATTGCCATGCCATGAAAGCATAAGATTAATAAGTCATTGTCTTGCCTCATTAAGTTTATGCTAATTTATTAACCAGAAAACATACTTGATAAAAACATTATTTAGGGGTAAAAACTAAGTTTTTCATAAAGGGGCACAACATAGGCTCTGTACCCTGCTATGTCTGCCTAGAGAAATGTCATTTCTTCTTTACTTAGCACTGTGAGCTTCAGCCGCTCGTGCTTCTGTCTCACCCCTCTTTGACATTCTTGACACACAGTTCTAGATGTTACCTCTTCTAGGAAATCTGTCACCACAAAACTTCCTGGACAGTGTTGCAGACACTAGCCCATTTTTTCTTCATTTTTTTAGACACAGAGTTTTCACACAGTCCAGGCTATCTCCACACTTGCTGTCCCCCATCTCAACATCCTAGGTAGCTGGGATAATAGGAGTATGCCGCTGCACCCGGCTGGCACTGGCTCAGTGGCTTTTCTCTAAGATTCTGGAGAGCGGAGTCCCTGCACTTCCTGGACTCTGTCAGACTCACCTCACGATGTAGAGTAAATGGCCACTACTTGATACTGACCAAACATTCTAAATATACGAGTTTGCATGCATTTTGAATTTTTCAGATATTCTCAAATCTTTGATGAACAGAAATCCACCTGCTTTCTCGGTTGGCTTCTAGGTTTCACATAATCTTGGGCAAGACAGAAGCAATTAGGAATTAGCTGAAGAACACTAGCTCCTCCTTGTCCACATGCTCATCCCAAGATGAAGAAGCCCTATTCACACACAGCTTGTATACACATACAGCTTCTATACACATACAGTTTGTATACACACACAGCTTGTATACACACAGCTTATATATATATATACACACACACACACACAGCTTATAAACACACACAGCCTGAATACACACACAGCCTGTATACACACACAGCTTGTAAACACACACAGCTTATATACACACACAGCTTATATACATATACTGTTTGTATACTGTAAGTGCTATAAGACCTACTCCAGCCCCTGCCCAGGGTTTCAAAGGTGATACGCTTCTCAGAAGCAAAGGAGGGGGTAAAAGATTTCTATAGTAATTTCGCACACAATCTGAGGGTCATGCTCTTTATTTCATGTGTTCTTTACTGTTCTTTTTCTACTCTGATAACCCTGTTCTACTTCTAACTTCTCCGTTATTCTTCTTCTAGCTTCCATGTGGTGATATCTTGCTTGTACAAATAAAGCCTGCCTGAAGATCAGATAATGGAGTTTGCCACTAGCTAACCATACAGGTCTGGAGGTCTGTATAGACATACAGGAAGGGAGATGGCTGGGGGGTGGAGGGGAGGAAGTAAGATGGCTGGACACAGACAGGAAGTGAGATGCCTGGGCAGGAACAGCACAGTCAGTAGGGCATGAGACTCAATCTCAGATCTCAGGGTTCGTACCCCACATTGGGTGCTAAAATATAAATGGAGTTCTTAATTGGTCTAAGTAATAAAAACCCGGAGTCATATATAGAGGAAAATGCTGAGAGATCAGGGAGAAGAAGGAGCAGACCTCTTATTGGTCAAAAGCACATTCCTAGAGCAAGTGATTACCATGGCAATGCAAGGGTCCAAGGCCATGGGAGCAAATCTATGACCAGACAGGAAGGGGCACAGTGCCCAATGACAATTTTGAGACACAGATCCATTGTTAGTAGACAGGCAAGTGAAGAATTGGCATGCTTTTCTTAGTAACCTTGGTTGGACATCTGCAGCTCTGACATAGCTGTAAGGGTTTAAACTTATGATCTATTTATAAAAGGCCTTTTAGTCTAGTTTGAACTTGCTCTGAGGTGAAAGTGATCTATTGTGTGCAGTTAATCTAAGTAAGAGAACAAGGCAGGCTGTTCAGAGTCCACAGACCTTGTGGGACAAATAGTTCTGGTTATGAAGCATGTCCCAGTATATATTCTAGATATCAAAACTATATAGTTAAATGGAAAGTCATGTTCTAGACCACCCACAGATACATGTGCCAGTGGATGGAATATTCTCATGAGGTGAATACACAAGCAGTGGGAAAGACCCAAAGCTATTCTTGGGGAAGAAAGGAAGTTCTTGGGGAAGAATGAAGTGACTCATGAAAGAAATTACAGGCAAGAGCCTGTTTCCACAGCCAGTAACCCCACAGCCTTGCCAAGTAGGGTGACCCCATCAGGAATCATGCATCTTGTGGGTCAATCTATTAAACACTAGTTAGCACCTGCTGTATCTCTCATGGCTCCTGCCAGTACACACATACAGCTCGAATACACACACAGTTTGTATATTCGCACAGCTTATATACACACACAGCTTGTATACACACACTGCTTTTATACACACACAGCTTATATATGCACACAGCTTGTACACACATACTGTTTGTATACACACACAGCTTGTATACACACACACACACAGATAGTATATACTATATACATGCAGCTTATATACACATACAGCTTGTATATACACACAATTTGTATACACACACAGCTTATATACATATGCAACTTGCAAACATATCCACCTTGCATACACACACAAAGACTGTATATACTATATACATACAGCTTATATACACATACAGCTTGTATACACACACAATTTGTATACAAACACAGCTTGTATACACATCCAGCTTGACTTCTCAATCCCATGAGAAAATATAGATTTGCCCTTCCACTCTAACAAAGACAACACCTCACAGAGTTCACTCCACAATGCCACATACACTCATAAATGCACTTCAGTTTTTCCAATGAGAATGGATTCCATTGTTTTCCTAAGACAATAGCTAAATCCAAGGACAAAGTAAAAGTCACAACATAATCTCTTGAATTATTTTTTCTCAAAGAATATTTCTTCTTCATATTCTGTTAAATGCCAAGTGCTACAGTGGAACCTCCCTCCCCCTAAGGCAAACATTGCCTAGTGGTTCGTTTGGGATACTTACAGATAAAAGCAACTAAGAATGAGATAGCCAACAGCAGGAAAAGTGCCATCAAAGATGTAAAAAGCAGCGTGGGGCCAGCAGGCTTACTTAGATGAGGGGTAGGCTTCACTTCGGGAGCTAGAAGGACAGCCACATGTATTTCATGAGTACAATGTCCCATCCTCCATCCTGTCTTTCCTCCCTTCTCCTCCATATCACAGAATTACTAACAGTGTGGACACTTAAAATGACAGAAAAATAATGTCCATTGTAAAAACATTATAAAATACATAAGAGCACATGCACCATTGAAATGACTGGTATTAACATTCTGAGATCTGAAAAAATAATTTGAATATATTATATTTTCACAAAAACACTTTGATCAAATCTTTCAGCAAGTTTTGTTTTTGTTTGTTAGTTTTGTTTTTGGTAGTGGTGGGAGGTGTAATGAGCTAGGATTTCACTACGTAGAACAGGCTGTTCTGGAACTTATTATGTAGACCAGGCTGGCCTCAAATCCTCTGTGGTCCTCCTGCCTAGGCCTCCAGAGTGCTAGAATTACACCACACTGGCCTTTTAAGCAAATTTTAAAGGATGCACATATAGTATGTTTTCCCACATGGCAAAACAACATAAATACTCCTGTCTGGCCTATGACTTTTCTCTGATACAGTATTGTAAGTACATTTTCATATCGCATGTTTTCTTGGTGTCCTGTAATGTGGTTGCAGCACTATGTATTCAAATAAATCCCAGACTGTCAAAACACTAAAGATACATATACAGTAAGAGATAAATATTTCTAATCATGTTCAACTTCTTTAGCGTAAGTTCAATCAGGGCTGGGAACCCTTTGCTAGGTGAAGGTGTAGTTCAGTGACAGAGCAACTCTCTACTGAGGGAGAAGCTGTGCTTTGATCTTTCCTATGAAAGAAAAAGTTTCTTCGAGATAAAAGCTCCAAACACAGAAGCAGTTTTCACAACGTTACAATATACTGTCAAGCATGGAAGGGAAAGCTCAATGTTGAAAAGTATGATTTCATTTTACATTAATTTTTATGTAGCAGGAAATGCTATATAGAAGACGATACAATTTCAGTAAATGGAAAAAGCAAAAAATAGAAAGCTTTTCTTCCCACCAGACAACTCTACAGCTATTAAAGTCACTCTACAAACAATTCAATCCTCTGTGACTCCAGTAAAATCCCAGACATGAGCACTCAGAGAATTAGTAACCAACGTCACCCAAAGCTTATTAATGACCCTTCCTTTATCCTTCCCACTACATTAAATCTGAACTGTTTTTTACCTGCAGCAGAATTTGAGTCGGTGCCTGGGGAGTTGGATTCATTCTTGAACTTCACTTCTGCATACATGATTTCTGAAGCCATATCAAAAAAGGCCTGCCTCCCTCAGAAAACACACCTCGCCTCCTCCCTAAAACTTGTGGTATGTGGGAACCAAACGCGGCAATCACACAACTTTATAAGAGAAGAAGGACTTCCCTCTAAGATTTACCACATGAGAACGAGATACCACAGCACGGAGTCAATAGGGCCATATACAGAGATGAAAAAAAAAAAAATCTTAAAACAAGAAAAAAGGATTGTAGTGCTCAAGCCCAGTCAATGCGATATGCAAACACTATAAAGATGGAACTTAAAGTGGGAAGGAAAGACACAGGAAGGAGGGAAGAGGAACCATGCCATTAGGGAACTCTGTCTTAAGACACTGCGGCAAACATAAACTCATGCACTTTTATATGCAAATGTTGTTTCAGATGAAACAGACAACATGAGCAAACACTTAAGGCATGACAGCATCCATTTTGACTAAAAGGCAAGTTCTGGCACAACATTCTAGACAACCATTAGCCCCTCACCATCATGTGGGCTCTCCCATCCCCCCCTCGGCTGCCTTCAGCAGGGGGAAGGCAACACTCACACACTGTTGCTTCTGGAGCTGCTCCCCCTGAGCTCTCTGCTTCCCTAAGCAGATCATAACTCACTGCACAGGGACTCTCCCCTCACTGTGTTACTGGCCACATCCAGAAATAGTTCTGGCTGGCAGCAATGGGCGCAGGCTGTGCCTCTCCTCATGCCTCTCTTCCCTGGATCCCTGCACTGCTCAGCACGAGCTTCATGGGTCCACTGCACTGTTGGAAACAGCTGGGAGAATTAAGAGATCACAATATATGTGAGGGGAAACTTTAACTGGTTGCTAAAAGTGGGATTCCTTGTGCAGATGTCTTCCAGCTCGTACTCACATGCTCACCCTTGGGCTCGTCCAGACACTTCCCTTCTTGAAATCTTCTCTAGCTACTTCCATGTTCATACAGCAAGCAAACGGGATGTGCACGTGCGCACGCGCACACACGCACACACACACACACACACACACACACACACACACACACACGGTGTTTGTGTCTCCAGGTTTTTCTCTCCAGTTTGTATCCAAACACACTAACAACCATGGGTTCACACTATTAACCCCATTCTAACATAATGCCACCACATCCTTCATTTTGTTTCCCCAATTTCAGCATTTTGAACCTACATCTGTGGCTGAAAACATCTGTGTTCATCATCTCTATCGCAGGCTCTCAAGTGATAATCTCCTGGATGCTGCCCATCGCCCTCTCACGACCTCCACTAAGACACCTGCCCTGCAGGATGGGCTCCAGCCCTCAGGTCAAGCCTGTGTCCCCTGCACTGCTGCCTTCCTCCTTCAGCTGGATGCTCCCCCCTCAGGGACAGACACCTTGCTGCAGGAATCATAGGGCCCACCTTGACACCTACTGTACACACACTCTTTACCCATGCCTGAACTACACTCTGCAAGGAAGTTCCTTCTGTGCCTCTGAAATCCCAACCCATTATGTGCTGGTACCCTCCCCCACCCTTGCAAATGTCCAGTTACTCCACGAGGACCCTCTGCTCACCTGTTTGGAGCTCTGACTCCCCGCAGGAAGTGGTCTAATGAGTTGATACTTTCCTCACCATCCTTGAGCACAGAGGGACCATTCATTCCATAGAACAGCCGCCCTCCTCACTTCTCAGGCTCTGATGTTTCAACCAGACTGCTGCTCATGGACTCTCCTGACCCAGACACTTTCTCTCCAGCCTGCTGACAATCCCCTCACTACTTGGACTCCAGTTCTGCTCTCAAGCCAGAGCTGCACGACCACCCAGCTTGGATTTTCACACCCTCAGACAGCCCATTGCTGCCCCACACCTGCCCTTCCACAGACACCTGCCTTGCCCTTCCTACGCCATTCTTTATTCAGTAACTTTCTTAGTAACTGAGGTGCTGCCAGGAAAGGAAACCGGGTATGACGGAGAATACGCAAATAAAGTATAATTATTAAACCTATCAAGTATTTCCAGGTGCATAAATATTTCTACATACCACTTCACTCCAGTCACAGATGCTCAGGGGTTTTACCTTCTCAGAAAAACGTATTTCTAAAGTTATCATATCTCACATACACTAGAATGATCCACACACAATATTCAAATAGCTTCCAACAACAAATGTTTCTCATGTGTGTGTGCCCTAGGGGTCTGGCTATGGACCGCTGTCATTCTGTTCAGTCTTTTTCCACACTTACCATTTGGGAGCCAGGTCATAAAGAATGGCAGCTCCTTGTAGCCTCCTGTATTTAGAGAATCAGATTCATTCTCATTCTATGGGCCAGTGAAAGTCACCTAGACAAACCAGATGATTAGGGTTGAAAGCATACTTTATATATTGCTGGGCAGTGATGACACAGTCTTTAATCCCAGTACCTGGGAGGCACAGACACGTAGACCTCTGTGAGCTCTAAGCCAGCCTGGTCTACAAAGCTAGTTCCAGGACAGCCAAGGCAGTGAAACCCTGTCTTGAAAAACAAAACAAAACAAAATGAATAAAAATCTTGAGTAAATCACACTCTGTAAACACTGTAACTGAGAAGGAACACACACACACACACACACACACACTTATAAAGACACTTGAGGAACTACAGAAATAGCTCAGTGGTTAAGGGTGTGTACTGCTCTGGAAGAAGACGGGAGCTCAGCTTCCAGCAACCTTTGACTCACAACCATATATAACTCCAGCTCCAGGGATCGGACACCCTCTTCTGACCTTCGCAGGCACTACTCTACACACAAGCACATGCATGTATTGTCACGACCACCTCGACCAGCAAGGAAGACGCAACGCTCAGACTCTTCTTTAAGCAGTTTATTCAGGAACCTTGAACAATCTTCTTCTGCTCCTCCCAGCCCCAGCAAGCCCTTAAATATGTGCTCACTGCCCAATCAGCTCATGCCACCTGGCAATCCCGGATAGGCCACAGAAGGAGGAAGCACACCAGATCCATCAAGCACTTCCAAATAAGGCTTGTTTACAACCAGTTACTACCTGGCATCCAGCCAGGCTCCACCTTGGGGCTGTGGCTTCCCACAGATCCCCCTTTTTTGTTTAAAATGCAACAGGCAAGGGTAGAGGTCTGATCTCTGATGAACAAGGGACATTGTAATGGCCCCGCGCCCAGTTATCAGCCAAGCTGGTGCCACACCCGTCCGGTATCTTTTCTCAGAGATGGGATTACGATACCAACCCATATGCAATCAGACTTGCCCTCCATGAAGCCGCTAATAGCTGGCCTCAAGTACAGTACTTCGTCTGGCATCCTGAGCGTGATGACTGCTTAGCTTTTAAGCACAGTTAACCAAGCCTGAGGTGATTGCCCTACCTCCAGAACTGTGAAGGCTTGTGCAATCGTGGCATTACTTCTCCGGCTGTGTAACTCTCATCCTGCAGATACGCCATAAAGCAATGAGACTGACTAGGATAAGCATCCCTCCCAGCGCAAAACTAACATTTCCCCTCTACAGGACTAATATCCTTATCTAAAGGCAAAAAGGGTAAATTTAAACTTAAATTGCTACTAAAAAAATCTGGGAAAAACTTGGGCATAATGCCTAATTGGCATGGGTTTAGGAAACACTGACAGGATCCCCCATCGTGGATCTGCCTCCATCTCATCGACCAGGACCATCATCATGATCGTCAGCATCAGGTGCATCAATCTGCTTGTGGACCTCACCATCTACAGAGGCAGGAACTCTCCTGGTCAGTCTTTCAGGAATCCACAAAGGTTCTGACTGATCCTGTGGGTAAACACAAACAGACCCTCTCGCCCATGATAACACAGGGTCAGGACCCTTCCATAGTCCAGAAATGACATCTTTCCATTTTACAAATCCCTTATCAACGGGGAGGACACTGTGATGGCAATCAGCAGCTGAGCGCCCATTCACATCCAATTGAAAAAAAATTAAGAGTCAGTAGAGCTAGAAATATTCTCTCTTTGGGGGGTTGCGACCTTGGCCTATTCCCCCTTTTTTGTTTTATTAAGCATTCCTTCAAAGTTCGGTGAGCTCATTCAACAATGCCTTGACTTTGTGGGTTGTAGGAAAGACCATGTCTCAAATCTATCTGCATTTGCTTGCAAAATGCAGAGAAAGATGCAGCAGTATATGCTGGTCCATTATCAGTCTTTAATTGCTGCAGCATACCCCACGTAGCCCAAGCTTCTAAGCAGTTGTAATTACATTTTGTGCCTTTTCTCCATTTAAAGGAGTAGCATGTATCACTCCTGAGCATGTATCCACAGAGACATGCACATGCCTTAATGTGCCAAATTCAGCGATATGAGTAACATCCATCTGCCATATTCTAAGAGGGGCCAATCCTTGGGATTAACCCCCCAAGTAGGTGGCTGTAAATACACTACACAATTTTTACAAGCCTTAACTATATCAGGAGTGGCTGTGCTGGATATCCCGAAGCGATGCTGCAAGGTCTTTGAATTAACATGAAATTGAGAATGAAATTGCTGAGCTCTATCAATTGGGAGGGAGGCAAATATAAAATGCATCCGGGTACACTTTTCCACTAATTCATTTTTCTCACTAATTGGTTCAGGCAATCCAGTATGAGCTCTAATGTGTTGGATATAAAAGGGTTGCAAACGTTTCCAAATGATCTCTTGTAGCTGGGTTACATGTGGCTGAATAGGGCTAGTAGTATTTTTCCAGCTACCTCCAAATCTTTAACCAAATTAACAACATAATTGAAACCAGAAATTAAATCGAAGGCTTCAGAAACTTTTCTAAAAACCTCTAACACTATTTGAAACTCCATTATTTGAGGCGAGCCTGGCATAAACCGACAAATAATTGGGGCAGCTTCTACAATTACATACGTGCCGCACCCAGTCTTAGACCCATCCATAAAAATGGTTACTGCACCCTCAATGGGTACTTTACGGGTAACTTTTGGGAAAATAACAGGATGTTCCTTAAAAAAGCTCAAAATGGGATGCTTGGGATAGTGG